TATTTGTGTCCTAACAATTTAGTAGCTGTTTGGAGAAAACAATAAACATGAATTAAAATTAAAAAGGATATTGACACCCCTCTTAAATCTGTCCCAGTGAATGACAAATAGCATGTGTGCACCCCTTGAGCACTGCACAACTTCTGACACCTTGGAATCAGACACCAGCACTCTCCTCTCTATTCCACAGTGATTTTTCATCCCACACTTTTAATCATAGTAATGGCCAAAAGAATCAGCTTTGCAAATATATGGCCCTGCTGTGAGCTGATACTTGTGGATCCAAGACAAACATCATTGTGTTTCCCTTGGAAAACGTAAACATCCAATGAGATGCTCCAGGGTGCCTCAGCACACAGGGTACCACAATTGTAGCATCTGTTTGAAACTTTATTATGGCCTGTCCTGCAACTTCAGTGGAAAATATTTGAGGACAAGAGCCATATGTATTCCACAACAGCTAGTGTAGTTTCTTGTTCAATAACAAATGTCCCATATATACTATCTGTCATTGAATCTGTCATGTCATACATTGTAAGATGCATGCTGATTTCTAGAGATAGAAGTTTTTTTGGGAAAAAAAATGCATCAAAAAATAAATAAAATAAGGTAGATATTTGAATAGGCTGGTGTGAGTTTATTGCCCAAATCTGAGTTAGTTCTGCAATTTCATATTTACCCTTCTGGTATCTGTACAAGCTAACTCATCAGTGTCCTTATGGGCTTAAATCCCAATCATAGAAACAAATCTTTAAACAGTGGAGACCAATTATGCCCTCTTGCCCAGCACACACAAAACCCGTGCTGTTCTTCCACCTGCTGCTATTCTGTGAATGAAAGGGAATGAGTAGGCAGCATTCTCTCCCCTAATTTTTGACTTTTATTTTTTCTGTCCCCCGTTGTTAAAATGCTTAAAAAAAACTCTCCCATTCACTTGCAAGTCAATATGATACTGCCTACCTTAATGGTACCTTGATCTTTCATATATGAAAGGACAGGTGTATTGCAGATCCCAGCTGCATCTGGTCGGAATCCCAATTTCTCAAGCACCCCATGAGGGACCTGGTGAAGGGGAGGCACCTGAACTCGGCTTCCAGGGGGTGCCCACCTAGTGTGCATAACCCGGCAAGGGCTTCGCACTGCTGGATTTTGTCCTCAAACATGTAAATAAACATAATGTATACTATAGTGTGGAGTATAGCTTTGGCTAATTAGAGCAAAATTTGTTTTACCTGCAAAAGGTAAATAATTGTATGAGTGGGAGGAAGAAAAATCACATTGCAAAAGTTCTTAAATAAATTACAGAGGGCCTCCCTGGTAGCTCAAGGTTTAAAGTCTCAGCTTTATCAAGCTATTGCCAGTCACTGTGGCATGAGCTCATCCTCCCAGCCAGGGAGCTACCCACATGGCACAGCAGACCTCTCCTGCCTTGCCCCCTGCTCCCCTCAGCAGTGTATTTCAGTAGATCCTCCTGTTTTGCTCCCCACTCTGTCTCTGGTGAATTCTTTCACACACACACCCCTACCCCGCACCCTTGGCCTACACCCCAGCTCTTGTATGCATAAATAAACAAAATAAATCTTTAAAGATAAATAAATAAATTACAGAGATCCAAATTCACAGCAAGTAGATAAGAACCCTATCAAGTTTTTAACTCCAGACTGCCCAAGACTGGATAGAATCCCTAGGAAGGAGTGGCCTGGAAAAAATGGAAGTTAAGTGTTGCAACTTCTCACAACTCTAGGCAGGGTCCAGCACAGGCTGAGGGGGTCTTAGAAAGTGGGGTCTTCTCTCCAGTGGCCCCAGAAAGCGCAGCACTTCCTTCCGTCTGTGGTTCCCAGTTGACATCTAAGCTCCTGTCAAGCCTACTCTCTGCTTCCCCTAAAGATCCCTGGCAGTGGCCTGATTCTCACTCTGCCCAGGGCCTCACAACCCCCCTGGGCCTAGGAGTTGGGTGGCTGCTGCTTACACTCTTCACATTGTCTGAAATGGTAGGTTCCTGGGCTCAAAGATCCCAGCAGCCCTGTTCAAGTGCATCTGACAGTCAATCTCACACTTAGACCTAAAATGCAGCCCAGCTCCATCTGGAAGCCAAAGAATGAAAGTCTTGTTCAAAGTGGTATGTGTTTGGGGTAATCCCTATGTTTTGCAACATTCAGCTGAACAATATTCAATGTTACTCTATTTGATCTAGCCCTGATTTTCCTTACTTGGCTATTGTATTTTCCTAAGTGGTTTAGGCATCAATCCCTGAAGACACCTGTGTTTCTCTACTGCCAGGACAATCTGTGACTCCTGTGGCTGCTATTGGGAGTCTCTAGGGGGCAAGACGGGAGTGGCAGGGCCCTGCCCTGTGGCATTCAGGCTGCGTGCATTGTTCCCTCTGCTGCCAGCAGAGATTAGGACTGTCCAGCACACCCTGTATCCACAGGGCATGTCCACCCTGTGATGGACTTTTCAGGTGGTTTCCTTGGCAACCAGATCTACTAACCCTCCTCCCCTTCTCCTCTTACCAGGAAGTGAAAAAGCACATAATTGGCTTAGTGGAGTCACCAATACTAACTAATACATCTTTATGAAACTCCACAGGCTCCTAACTCTTTAGAACTGAATTCTTTTTTTTTTTTTTTTTTTTAGAACTGAATTCTTAAAGACACTAAGCTTCTTTTCCACAACCATTTGAAAAGTGTATTTTATAAAAATGGGACTCTTTAAGACCAGAAGGACCTATAGGATCAATTAATCACTTCCCTGTTTTACAGATGAGGCCCACAGGAATGGTGCAGCCCACCTAGTGAGGCAGTGGTGGTGGGATCAGCCCTGAGCTTCCTGCCCTATCCCGGGTCATTCCCCCATCCGAGAAGACACTTCATTTTGAGCAGTAGCAGCGGACTAGCCTGTGCTGTGTAGCTCTCTCTGAGAACAGTGGTCGTTTAACATGGCCATATGTTATCCCTGTCCCCTGCACTATTTTAATCAATAGCGCAAATGACTATACTATAACTGTGCCTATTATAATGGTTGCATTTAGCCACAAAATCAGCACTGACCAGCAGCAGGCCTTCGTACATTTACCGATGCTTGAGTTTCCCCAACATAAATTGATGGTTGATAGTTACTGGCCTAATATGCTTCCTCAAAGAAGGACATCTGTGAATGAATGCATGAGAGTTAGCAGCCTCAGACAGCAGAAGCACAGAAAATGTGAACAGATGTTCTAAAAACGGTGATACCATTTTATCCCCGGGCCTTCCTGTGAAAGAGATCATAGTCTAAGGCATTTTGCCCATCTTTGCTGGTACTTAACTTTGATGAATACCTCCATCTTTTGGAGACAAAATGACATATAAAATAGGAGTGTGGTAAGTATTCAATACACACGAGCACTTAAACAATCACGTCCAGGAAGTGTGTAATAAAACACCCCAAACTCCTGGCCTTCACCTCACAGATAGGAGCGTGGTAAGAATGGGGTTGTTGCTAATTTCATAGGTTGTATATAAAACTGCTCAGTCACAATAGGGGATAATTGGATATTTCAGAAATTTCAACTCTAAATTCATTCTTCCATCCAGTTAAGTGAATCCCAGCTTTGGGGCCTTCATATTAGCCTTGCGTTCACATAACATTTTCTTCCATCGTCATCTTAGCCCTTTTCTTAGGTCGATTCATGGCCACCTCGGCTGTGGGTAAGCTGACATGGTCACTTTTTGAGATGGACGTCTCCATGGATGGAACCAATTGCAATTTTTTTTAAAGATTTTTATTTATTTACTTACACAAGAACCGAGGTACAGACCAGATGCACGGGAGGGTGAGAGGATTCACCAGAGACAGAGTGGGGAACAGAACAGGCAGACTGACAAAATACACTGCTGAGGGGAGCAGCGGGCGAGACAGGAGAGGTCTGCCATGCCATGTGGGACCCTCGCCGGTGGCTGGAATCGAACCAGCACTGCAGAGGCTGCGGACAGCTTCACAGCACTGCGCTCAACTGCCTGTGCCACCACGGGAGGCCCGCCAATTGCAATTTATTGTTGACTTTCTTATTTTCCATCCCCAAAGGAAATGGCTACTGAGAATACGGTGACCCTTGGGGCAGGGAGCTTTGACTCTACCACAATTCTTAGGAAATTTCTCTTCCCTTTCTTTTGGTCCTGCTTGTTTGTCCTCTGTAATTTGCTTTTACTTATTCTGAATGATATTTCATTTTTTGATCATAAGACTCCTCCAACCAATAGGTTGAACTGTTACAATTCTCTGAGTTATTTTAGCCTTACAAAGACTTTTTCAGACATGTACGATCATTTTATCTTCACACATAAGCTGGCTTCCTGAAATGACAATGAATTACATTCATGTCTCTCATGGACTGAAGTCACCACCTGCTGTTCAAAATCAACCTGGATTCCCATTCCAAAGAGGAAGAGCTTGATTTGCCTTATGGCTTTTAATTTGCTGTGTTTGGTTCCTCTGCATTAGCTTATTCAATAACACTTTAAGAATGCTACATTATTGGAATTTAGAAAAGGGTTTCCCTCTGAGAACTGAACACATCAGCTTTGAGTTTGTGGTCAAAGCTGACCACTATAATAGGCATGACCGTATTATAGTGACTTTTATTAAAATAGGCAGAAGTAAATCAGAGCCCAAAAGGACCGTTTCATTTTCTTGTTGCTGTTGAAACGAATTATCCCCAAATTTAGAGGCTTAAAACAATACAAATCTACTCTCTTAATAGATCTGGAAGACAGAAGTCCAAAATCAGTTTCTCTGGGCAGCTCTATTTAGTGACAGTTTCTTTGGCCTCTTCTATAGGGACTGGGTTGGTCTGATGGGCTGGGGATATGTACCCAAGTCCGGGAGCCTCCCTGCCCGCAGCACCTGCAGGCCCAGCTGCCTCCCCCAGGTCAGACACAGTCACAGTGCCTGGGGCCACACCACTGTTCCCAAGATGTTTGCCAACTGCTCCTCCTCACACTGACTCCTTTTCTTTTCAGCATTGTGTTGGTGTCTGGAGACCACTGAATCAGCAAGCTGAGAGGAAAACTGCAGCAAGATGTCGGGCCGAAGCGGGAAGAAGAAAATGTCCAAGCTGTCCAGGTCAGCCAGGGCCGGCGTCATCTTCCCGGTGGGGCGACTGATGCGCTACCTGAAGAAAGGGACGTTCAAGTACCGGATCAGCGTGGGTGCTCCGGTCTACATGGCAGCCGTCATCGAGTACCTGGCAGGTAAAGTGAACGGTACCCCCCCACCCCCCAGTCCCGGCGGCTCCTCCCACTCAGGCCGCGAATGATGCTCTAATTCCCCCTGCGGCTGTGTTCAGGCTGCTGCGGTAGTGGTGGGGTTTCGGCTTGCCTGCTGAGCTAAAATCAATTTCTGCAGGCTTTAGGAGAGAAAAGAGGACACAAGAAGGACAGATGATCAGCACGAAAGAAGAGAACTCCCAAGAATGTGGTTTTTCTAGACCACCCTCCCCCAAATTGTGTCTTGCTTTAAGTGAATGCAGTACACAAAAATCTAGGCCTCAGCAGAAGGTGGCCGGGTGGAGGGTTTCTATTCCTTCTGTTAAAAAAAATCTGCACTTTACACCAAATTCCTTGTTAAACATCCATTTTCCTGGTGTATTAAGACTAGAACTCAATGTACATAAATAACATTAACCTGAGCACGGGAGGCATCTTCTGTTGGTTCTATGAAACTGATGGTTTTCTAATTTTGCTCTCCTTTATTTTTTTTTAAAGATTTATTTATTTATACAAGTACTGGGTACAGTCAGAAGTGTGGGAGGGTGAGTGAATTCACCGGAGCCAGAGCAGGGAACAGAACAGGCAGGCTGACGAAGTACACTGCTGAGGGGAGCAGTGGGCGCGGCAGAAGAGGTCTGTCGCGCCATGGGGGACCCTTGCAGGTAGCCGGGTATCAAACCGGGGCTGCAGAGGCTGTGGGCAGCTTCAGAGGCTGTGGGCAGCTTCACAGCCCAGCGCTCAACCGCTGCACCACTAGGGGAGGCCCTGTTCTCCTTTATTGTCGTGGGTCTGCCTATAGAACAGTACTGGTACCTTCCTGTGCGCCTCTCTACAGAGGGCCAGTCCAGCCTTGCTGGTCAAACAGGAATGGGAGGTGGGTCTTTTGCAGTGTAGGGTCAGGACAGGACACGGGGCAGGTTTTCTAATATCCAACAGACCGGGTAAAGGAGGAATCAGAGTCCTCAGTGGTTTTTGCAGGTCTTTTATTGGGATTTACCCGGTACACAGCAGGAAAGTGTGCTGGGGGTCCCAGAGGCTGGCAGTCCTCCCAGCCCCCAGCAAATCCTCACTCTATCTGGGCTCTCCGGTGATCTCTGCTTCTGCTTCTGCTTCTGCTTCTGCTTCTGCTTCTCTGCTTCTCTCTCGGCTTCTCTTTTGGCTTCTGCTGGCGTCCCCGTGATGCCGCCCTTAAAAAGCACAGTCTTAGCCCAGGTGAATCCCATCTACCTATGCCCACACCCTACTCCAGGTGCCCGCCATCAGGCATGCATTCAGGACCGCAAGGATCCATCATGTATCCTGATGGTGGGAGGGCAGAAAAACCTGATTTTTCCTTACCCTCCATGCAGCCAGGCCTGTCTCCTCTATGTCCTTTCCTACCCATCCTTTGTGCTTTTGTTCCCCTCCAAAGGGGGGCTGGAGTTGAGAGGACACAGGCTTAGATGTCAGCTTCAATGCAACTTATTTCAGCTCTGTTACCTTGGGCTGGTTCCTTAACTTCTCTGAGCTTCAGGTGTTTCCGGCTGTAGCTCATTGAACTCTGCTAACTCATTAACTGAGTAAATGAGGTAACATTTGTAAAATTGAGCTAATGCATGTCTGCTGCATAGGATGCATTCAATAAATGTTAATTCTTCTCTCCTTTCTATTAAGAGCTGATGAAATCATTCTGGGCAACGTATAAATAATTAATTTCCTAAAGTGTTGTATTTTCAAGCTGTATTTGCATTTTAATGAAAGGAGTTTTAAGACAAAGGAATGCATCATTATTAGTGGAATCTCGGGTCATTGTTGAGTAAATAAAAAGGGGAATTTTCAATCAAGTGTTAGTTGTTTTTACTGTTGTTTTTGGAGGGGGCATCAATTGACTTTGCTGTGGGCAGGGAGTTCAAAGTACCAAAGCTTCCTGTCACCCTTGAACTAACCTTCAATATTCATGACTGAGTTGACTGAGTTCCTACTTTGGATCAAGCCTTACAGATACAGCAGAAAGAAGATATGTGGTCCTGCCTTCACCCGGTTTAGGGCGGAGAAAAACATCAAACCTATCACAATCAAATGACATATATGTTGGGCAGTAAAGTTAGAGACACTTTGGGAAGTGGGGAGGGGTGATGGGGGGTCCCTAATATAAAGCAAGTGTCATTACAGCCTAAATCAGGTCCTCAACTCTGGCTTTGCCCAGGTTGATTGATCTAAAATCCTGATTCCTGGGTCTCACCCTGGCAGATTCTAGGCTGTGTTCTTGACATTAGGATTTTTTTAAGTTATCTCAAATGATTCTGATGAGCAGCTAGGATAGGAAATTCTTAAGTGTTTGCCAGATTCAATGGGAGGGTTAAGCTAAGAGGAAACTGTCAGGTTGGGGAGGAACAAAGATAGAGACCCAACGTTTATAGGAAGTACTCTACTGGAAGTTCTCCCTTCTGGGAGCTGGAAAATGGAAGAGCTGGGAGCAGAGCAGGGAAATGGGAGCGGGTGAGAGATGAGATGGGATTGGTGGGGGAGTAAGCGGAGAAGGCAGATCCTGGAGAGCCACGGTGAACTTGTGTACATTTTGCACTCTCTGCAGGGGAAGGCATCAGAAGAGGAGGTGGCAAGAACAATAATCTTGCCACCCCAAGGTCATGGCAAACTTGGTGAGGAAGGTGTGGGTGATCAAACTGCAAGGGGGTGAGGAGATGTAAATGAGAGACAAAGGAGATAGGGACTCTTTTAGGGAGTTTGGTCCAGAAGAAGGAAAGAGAGGGACTGATGGGTGATGGGGTGGGAGAAAGTGTCATGTGGAAGAGGCTTGAGTCTAGGGTCCTTGGAGTCTATCCTTAGTCTCACTAACCATACCTAAAATGTAGTATTTCCTTCCTTTGTGAAATAGGGCAATAAACCACAGTAGTGTCTGCAACACCTGGAAATTTCTCACTGATTAAAATCACCAACATTCTCTTACTAAATTTTCATTATTATAAATATCTAGGAATGTCATGTACACTTACCTTTATTTCAAATCACTGTAGTTATTAGACCTGCCACTGGATCTCATCATTTATGTTTGAATAAAGAAGTACACAGACTACTAAGTCCCAGATTTTTTTAATACTTTGAAAATTAGATCTCATTGTAATTGGTTTTGACATCCTCTATATTTTATGCATTTAAAGCCTTATCCTGACACTCATTAGAGTGGCTATTGTTAAAAAAAAAAAAAAAGAAAATGAAAAGTGCTCATGTGGATTTAGAGAAACCAGTGCCTTGATGTAAACTGCTGGTGGGCATATAAAATGGGGAAGTGTGTGGGAAACAGTTTGGTGGGCTCTCAGAAATTAAGCCTAGAATTACCCTATGATCCAGCAGTTCTACTGATAGGTATATGCTCAAAGAATTGAAATCAGAGATTTCAACAGATACTTATACACAAAAGTCATAGCAGCATTAGTTACAGTAGTCAAAAGTGGAAAATAACCCACATATCCATCAACAGATGAGTGGATGTGGTTTACACAACCAATGGGATATCATTCAGCCCTACGATAGAATGAAATTCTGATATGTGCACCAACATGGATGAGCCTTGAAGACTTTATGCTCAGTGAAATAAACCAGACACAAGAGGACAGATATTGTATACTTCTACTTATATGAGGTAGCTAGAATGGGCAAATTCATAGAGACAGAAGGCAGAAGGCTGGTTGCCAGAGGCTGAGGGGGCAGGATGGGGAGTTACAGTTTCATGGGTGTGGAGTTTCCATTTAGGATGGTGATAAAGTTCTGGAAATGGAGGTAGTGATGATGGTTGCATGACACTGAATGTAATCAGTGCTACTGAGTCATTCGTTTAAAATGGTTATAATGATAAATTTTACATAATGTATGTTTCACTACGATGAAAAAGAAACTTTATTCCAAGATGGGTCCTTGGGTCTCACCAGACAACCCAAGAAATTCGTGGTGCTGATAAGTTACAGCATACCTGCTGGAGGGAGAAAAATTGGCGATGCTGGAGAGTGGTGGAGAGGGAAGGTCACTCCTCCAGCTCCCAGAAGTGGGGGAATGGCTAAGGACAGATGAACACACCACCATGTCCCATGTGGAGACATCAGCCTATCAAAGTCATCCTCCTCTGACACATAGAGTTTTACCTTCACAGTTTCTCCTAATTGACCCTCAGAACAGAGCTTTTAAGTTGCAGTGTTCAGCTCTTCTCTCCTGCCCAGATCTCAGTAGTGAATGGTGCTCACCTTCCCCCAAATGAACTGGGACATCTCTCGCTGATGTCCTGAGAGCCAGCCCCGCCAGGACCAGTGATATCATCTGGCCAGTTTATGTCTACCAGAGTCATGGTTATGGTCTCTGAAGTTCCTCTCTCCATTCATTGCTTCTGAGTGGAAACCCGAGGCCATAGGAATGGCATAAGAGAAGGCTGACGACTTAGCCAAAATGAAAGTTGCATACATTTTCAGCAAACTCTGGGGGAGAGATGCAGGCTGCCTTGCCTGATTTCTCTGGACTGGCCTCAGGTTCACACACCATCATCATGAGAGGCAGTTTCTAGTCCCAAGGTGGAAGAGGTTGTACCATCCGGGGAGGAATGTGTGCTGAATGGCCTGCCCCCAAGATATCCTCCATCGCCCAGAATGGACATCACATGCCTTCTTCCGTATATAGATCTGTAAATGGCCCAATGCTCATCTCCAACAAAAGCAAGGGAAATTCTATGGAAGAATTTAGCATTTATCAAGAGCAGATAAAATATAACTACAAGATATCCAAACTGAATAATTTTTAATCATTTTTATGGCAAGAAAAGGTTATATAGTATATATAGTATATATTTTTTAATTGACAATAGATAGATCTTTTAAAAAGGTTGCCTTTCAAGGCACCTCATGAAACCATAATGGAATCGAGAAGTTCTTCATTTCCATACAACTGCATTTATTCATTTAACACCACCAAGCATGTTTAATCTAGTGATTTTCATTTAGTACATTGGTGTTTTGAAAAGATTGCTTTGGCAGCCAAGGCCACGTGTACGGTTGTGTAGGTTGTGAACTGCACAAGCAGAGTATCATTCACAGCAGGCCTCACATTGGTGTATTTATTAGGAGCACTTCCAGTAGATGGCAGTAAAGGGCCTTCTCAGGAAATCAGGACACAAAGTGTCTTTTATTTTGCACAAAGGCTTACCCATCATTGGCACGAGTCCACAGTAGGACCAAACTAGGGGTGAGAACACCATTTAGACATCCACTGCAATTATCTGGGCCAGAAGAAAAGAGAGCCTTAACTCAGGTAATGGCAACGAGTGTGGAAAAAAGAGGCAAAGGTATATGAGATTGATGAGGTGGATGGAACTCCATATGGTGCCTGGGGGCGAGGGAGAGGGCTGGGTAGGGAGAAGATGAAGCTGTGTGGGGATGGAGATATCAGTTCCAAGGGCCATGGGAGGAGCAGGTTTGGGGGAGTGATTCGAAGTGGGGGGTGTGGAAAGTTTGATGTACTGTGGAACTCCCAGATGAGGCTGTCCAGGTGACATCATGCAGGGCTGGAGGGGCAGATCTGGTAGCATGGGCAGGTAGATGGGGTTTCCCGGAAAGACTGCAAGTTCCGAGCAAAGCAGAGGGCACAAACAGCCCCCGGGGCAGCATCACCTGGAGAGCAAGTGGGCAAGTAGATAAGCCAGTAAGAAAAGGGGCTGGGACAGGAGACACATGAAGGAGTGGCGAGTTCACGGACAGTTCATGGACATCACATCCCTTCTTCCGTATATAGATCTGTAAATGGCCCAATGCTCATCTCCAACAAAAGCAAGGAAAATTCTAGGGGTGAATTTAGCATTTATCAAGAGCAGATAAAATGTAAATATAAGATATCAAACTGAATAATTTTTAATCATTTTTATGGCAAATGGTATCCCATCTCCTGCGGCTGGGATACCTATCCAGTGTTGGCCTAGACTGTGTACAAAATAAGAGGACATGGGCTCTCCAAAATATTGTGCATGATGAGCTTCCCACTATCCCTTTTGGCTACAGGCATCACTCTTTTTACTACCAGAGGCATAGCTGTATTCCAGATGGTGACTATTGTTGGGAGTATGACTTCTTACAGGTGAGGAGTTGGCTAGAGAAGCCTGGAGACTTCCACAGACATCTATGCCTCTTAATGGAATAATGATTTTCCCACAAAATTTTCAGTGGAGTAAATTCATGCTCTATAAATCCAGTTTTCCTATTGATTGCCAATAGAAGGCCACTGATGTTCCCAGTGTCAAAAAAATCACCAAAGAATGTAGCAAACTTTTATAGTTCATGCAAATGTATTTGTCATAATAGCATTTGAAAATATTAATAATGACTGTCATTCTAAACATTTAAATGGCAGAGTCCCTGTCACAAGGCAGACTGAACATCTAATGGAGAAAAGAATTCCTTGGTCTAGATTTCTGCTGCATATTAGTTTTTCTTATTGAAGAAAAATGTTCTGCCTCTGCTTTTGCACCAGAGCTCATGATGTCTCTGAAATATAACTTATTTCAGAAGTCCAGGAGTCCAGTCTCATGCTGGCCAAGTCTCACCTGCGTGCCCAGCCGGGCACTGCCTGCTGAATCCTTGCCTTTAGTTTCATCCTGTGCTGATTTGATTCCAGCAGATTTTCTGACTGTGGCTCTAATGTCTGTGCATCTGTCCATCAACCTGACCTTCAGGATCTCCCTGAAGGTTTTAAACATGTAGGACTTCATTAGCCCTGCCTGTCACGGTAACGGCTTATTTGATCAACTTGGAAGGATGCTTCTTCCTCTCAATGAAGGCGACAGAGGCAGCAAAGTGATGATCTAAGATGCTAAATTAAGTTCATTTACTCAGATGCTTAAAACGGAAAGACTCCTTGACACCCCATCCAGAAAAGGACAAGGGGAGTGCTCCTGCCTCCCAAGTGTGCCACCCCCAGCCCCAGATAAACAGGTGCAGGAAATGCCTTTGCACTGAGCTTAGCTGTACTTTTTTACCTGAAGTCATACCGCAAGCCTATTTGTGAAAGCTTCATAACTACATTGCTCTTCAAGGGGTACCCTCACAAGACAAAGTACTGGGCAGCTGCCTGAATGCAGCAAACCATGTGATCTCACACAGCATTCATTTCAAATACTCTATCTGTTGTCCCAACAGGACTGTCATCTTCAATTCAGAAAGCACAGTCACATATAAATGAATTGTTGGTAAACACAATATCATCACTTAATAACCTGGGAAAGATGTGGTGAGAATGGATTTTGTAATGATGTAGCACTTTTCATTATGGAAATGTCATATAAATATTTAACTCTAATGCTTATTTTATTCTAATTTTCTGTTAATCACATTTACTTAGTTAATATGCATACTTATGCCAGGTTTTTTTTATTGCTGTAGATTTATGAATGATGGCAATTTCCTGTGCTATTTCATTTGAAATTAGGTTGATTGTAAAGATTCACACAGACTCATCTGTTCATTTTAGAGCTTAGTGTTTATGCCATTGTACCAGTGAAAAATCCCTCAACACACACACACATTTCTCCCCCCCCCCACATTATCAGTAGGAAAATACATTTGCACATTGCCTCTAGCTTTCTAAGAGGAGTTTTTCCTTGAAGATTCATTCATGTTTTTGAAAGCAGACCAATTTGATTTAGCATAACATCCTCTCAAGTTGAGGAAGAAAAATAAAAGAAGATAGAGGTATGAGTGCCCATAAAGAGCATAAACCAATTCTATAGATTTTTTTAAATTTTAACTCAAGCTTTGATAGTATATGAAATAGGTTTAAGAGCATTCCTTTTATTAACTCTTCCACGCCTACCAAGCAACAAGTTTTTTAAAGTCAGAAATATGCTTAAGTCCTGAGGGATATGTAGAAAAGCCTTGAACCCCAACATACTTTCCTTCCCTAATAGGTATTCCCATTAGGAGCTCACTTTTCTGGTTAAGCATTTCCTTTTCTCATAGTGTAAATCAGTTCTTCCAGCCTACTTTGCTTTAGGACTTGGGGCATCAAGTGAAAAGGAGAAGGAGACTCTGAAATGGAGATGGGGAGGGTCTCAATGAACACCAAAGACACACTTCACTCACAGCACTGTTCTCTTCAGATGGCGCTGCTCAAGTCCTCTAATGGATTCTGTGTTGGTCAGAATTAACTTCTGCCGACAGAGGGTTAAACAAGGGAGTTTATTTCTCATGCAAAAGAAGTCTTATCAAAGATAGTCCAGTTTGATGAGGAGGATAAACCATTATGAGACTCTGCTTCTTTCTAACTTGTGCTCTCTTATCCACAACTTCTTCCTCTTGAATAAAGGCAGCTGCTCCTATCCCAGCCATCACACACACCCAGTCTGCCAACAGAAAAAGAAGGGCCCAGACATTCATTGATGGACACTGCCCAAACATACCATACAATGCGACTGCTTGCCTTACATTGGCCAGAACTTCGTCACATGACTATATTGATCTACAGGGGAGGTTGGGAAATACTGTCTTCAGTCCTGTGATGATGGGCACAACAAAAAAATCAAAGGTCCACGTGTTAAGGAAGAAAGGTATTTATCAACGTCAAGCAACAACTAGAAGACTTTGCCACAGGATCATATATCAGGTCTTCTAAAGTAAATTACTTTGAATTCTGAGTTTTTTTTTAGTTTTCTGGATTTCTTTCCAAGTCCAGTCATAAAAATTACAGGTGAATATCACAACGTAAAATTAAAGACTATTTCCAAAGAAAAGCATTAGAAATTTCAGATCCCAGTCTGTGGTTATCTATTAACCTCCCCCTTGTCATTTCAGCGGAAATTCTAGAATTGGCTGGCAATGCTGCGAGGGACAACAAGAAGGCCCGGATAGCGCCCAGACACATCCTGCTGGCAGTCGCCAATGACGAGGAGCTCAATCAGGTGGGACCGGAGCTTTGAGGGAAATCACAGAATGAGTTTGCTAAACAACCTACCAGTGTGCTCCCCTGGCTGGCTTCAAATTATTTCCTGATCCAGTTGCTAGGTGCACGTATAGAAAGACAATTCAGATCATGTAAGAAAAGAGCAAATTCTGCTAGCTAGATCAATAAAATTGCCTCTTAAATAGATCCCATTATATATTCTGGGTCTGGCCAGACCTTCATTCCCTCTTTAAAGAACAGCTCTCTGGCAAGAGCAGAGCACTCGTATTACTCTTTTCATAGTTTCTTCACCCAGATTTTGTTAATGATTTGTTCTGATAAGGGCATGAGAGACCTTCTTTATAGGTTAGAACTGACCCTTTTATTTTAGAGCTGACTCCAAAGTGGAATGGACGATCCCCAAACATACACAAGGTGGCGGATAGAGAGGACAGGAATTTTTATTTATATTTATTTTCTAATCTCACTCATCTCAACTGCCTGTGGTGAAGAATCAGTTCTTATTTCCAATCCATGATGGATTGACAATTTCCCAAAATACAATCACTAGAAAAAAAAAAACATGAAAACAATCAAACTACAAGCCACAGTTTTTATTAGTGCCAATAGGTCCCCAATAATTCTGTCAACTTGCTATATACATTTCTAGACTCTTCCTGGTTATTTCTCTAATCCTCTTGTCACAGATAGTACCCAACAGTCTGTGCACCAACCTTGCTTGCAGATCTCACTTGAAGGAGAGCTGCTAGATGCGCAGACTGGGTTGGGGTAGCCGTATATGTCACTTATTTAAATTAAACATTTATCAGTCTGGAGGTGCATAGTCAAACATGTTTTACTGATGGAATGAATGGTCAAAGAGTGTGGAGACCACCGGTCTGTTATTAATGGGGTCTAGCCCTAGCACTGACCTTTGAACTTCATTTTGTCAAGCTGCGCTCCCCACGTGGGAAGCCCTTTATCCTCTGTTGTGTCTGAAATTCCAGAGCCCTGGTTTCAAGCTCTATCGTCCTTTCACTTTGCTTCACTTGCTGTGCTTTCTGTACAAGATCACAGGATTCCTTCATACAAGTGAAACAGGGAGAACCGATTAAACCATGTATTATGCAATGCCTTTGGGAAAACAGACCATTTTTTAACACTTGTTCTGCCAACTGCATCCAATCCAGAACCAGCAGGAGCTCTGCTGTCTGAACTCATGCTTTTTCTCTCTTCAGCTGCTAAAAGGAGTGACCATTGCCAGTGGGGGCGTCCTGCCCAGGATTCACCCTGAACTGCTGGCCAAAAAACGAGGGACCAAAGGCAAGTCAGAAACGATCCTCTCCCCTCCCCCAGAGAAAAGAGGAAGAAAGGCCACTTCAGGCAAGAAGGGGGGCAAGAAATCCAAGGCTGCCAAACCTCGGACGTCTAAAAAGGTGAGCCAGAAGGGAGTTTAATGATCCAAGCCGAGTGTGGAGCTGGCATCACCAAAGGACTGAGGACTCTCCACAGCTTGGCATGGGGGAAATTGACAAGGATGTCCATGTGGGATAAAGGGACACTGGCACTAGAGCCCAAGTCATCAAACAGGATCTGTTAGCGGCTTCCAAACCCAAAGCTTGCGTGGTTTTCATGTTTCCAGATCCCTTCCACTGCCCCCACCAAAACTGGAAGTGAGAGCTGATAACCTAGAACTCCACTTTTCATTTCTCTAGTGAGCTCCATGTTACCTACATATATATATATATATATATATATATATATATATATATATATACCACTAGGGGCCTCCCTCATGGCACAAGGGGTTAAGACACAGCACTACCAAGATATCCACAGCCACTGCAGCACCAGTTTGATCTCTAGCCAGGGACCCACATGGCTCAGCAGACCTCTCCTGTTTTGCCAGCTTCTCCCCTCAGCAGTGTATTTCAGTAGATCTGCCTGTTCTACTCTCCACTCTGTCTCTGGTGAATCCTCTCACCCACCACATCTCTGGCCTACACCCCAGATCTGGTATGCATAAATAAATAAATCTTTTTTAAAAAATGAATAAATAATTTAAAAAAACCCTCTAGTTTCCCATAGAGGGGTGCCTGAGTCCAGTTCATGAAAGATCAGGTGTTTGAGGATAGCCTGAAATGCTAAGTAGGTGCAGCTCAGAGGTGGACTCTCATAGGCTGACCAGTACACTAGCCACTAGCTACAAGTGGATATTTAAATATGAATTAAAATTAATTAAAGTTAAATCAAATTAAAAGTTAAATTTATTGGTTGCACTAGCCTCATTTCCAGTGCTCCATAGCACTGAGCAGCCCAGACGTGGAACATGTCTGCAGTCACAGACGGTTCCATTGGACAGTGCTGCTGCAGTGCTTGTCAAATTGTCATTCCACAGACCCCTTGATAACACGAAAGAGTGTGTAAGTGTTCACTCCACTGCCGCTGGGCCCGGGAAACCTGGGGGAGAAAGAAATCTGAGCAGTGTGCTGCAAAGGAGCACTCTTGCTCCTGAGGCCTGTCATCATAAGCTGAAGGTGTTGAAAAGAACACGAATACCACACCTGTGTCCAGGTTTGAGTGCCTGTGTTCAGGTACATGTGGATACCTTGAACACACTTTATTTGGGGCAGCACCCATTTCTTTCCCTCATATTACTGTCGAGAACAGCAAAACAATGCTTTACCCATTCCTTTCATATCCAAGTTGATAGTAGCCAGGGGAGAACGTAACAGAGCCACTTTGGACTTTTTCTGGATTATTTCCCATCTGTCCTTTTGATCTCTACCAACAGTCCAAACCAAAGGACAGCGATAAAGAAGGAACTTCAAATTCCACCTCTGAAGATGGGCCAGGGGATGGATTCACCATCTTGTCTTCTAAGAGCCTTGTTCTAGGGCAGAAGGTAATAAAGAGAACTGTAATGTGTGGCAGTAAAACACTATTGCATTTTTATAACCTACTGTTTACAAGCAATGATGCCTCCTCCAGCCCTTGCTCCCCTAATGTGACTTTCACTCTGGTCTTGAATTATTCATTTTTAAACTAAAGAGCCAAAACCATGTTGCATTATGAAAGTAAACTAGCTCTTTGGTGCTGACAGTTGTTCATGCTGACAATGGTCAGCCACAAGTATGTAGAGAGACTTTTTCTGGTTGGTAGATAGGATGGCCTTACTGGCTTTGCTGTGAATTCCCCATGCTCCAGTTACTTCTTACCCACCAAAAAAATCCATCGCTAACCTCTCAAACAGCCTTTGGGAGGGCCACCTGACATGGTTCAATGTAATTTATCAAAAAGAGAAAATAGAAATATATGTTTCCTGAATATCCCTGGTGCTAGAAATGAATTATTTGCCAATAATTCAGTCTCCTTGCCTTTCTCGACTTTAGAAAGAAAACAAACAGGGTCATACATTTGAACGGTCTCTGGCAGCACAACAGCCACCCAGTCAGACATGCAAATAATTCATTCCCACAAGCATAAAGTTTACAGAACAGACAATTTATCTACCAAGTCAACTGGGACTGAAACAAAATACACAAGGAAACAGTTAATCATATCTCTGGTAGCTGAAAGCTTGCAGCTGACAATACTACGAAGCGATTGGGAAGAACGTGTTAGAAGAACAGCATAAATGTGGCTGCTTTCTAAGTCATCACTGATGGGAGCAGGCAAGAAAAGAGGTGAAATTTATGTCCCCTCCAGGGGTGTCCATAGTTACACGATGATTAGCTTTGTCTCTCTTCTCTAGGGGAACATAAAGTTCTTGCTCACATGGGGGGCATACGCCCATGATGAATGCCCTCCACTCTACTCTGCCACCAGCACTGACATAGCACTTGCCTTTCCGAAGTATTGCCTGATGATTGGTCCCCAAAAGGCAGGATAGCAGACACAGGCAGATCAGAAGCCCAGAGCTTTGCTCAAGCTGATTGGCTCGTGGTTGGCTCCATGTCCCTACACCTGAGGATCCTTGCTACTCTGGGAAGAAGATGGGGTGCTGAGGGGAATAGAGAGAGCAAGTCTGGGGCTCCCCTTGCAGCAGCTAGTCAGAGACCATGTGACCACCACTGAAGCCACCCAGAGTGGGAGCGAAGGCTAAAGGGATAGGAAAGAAAAAGGAGAGGCAGTCCTGCTCCTACTCCTGAAGAACAGGCAGAAGTGTACCCTGCAGCAAACTCAGCTGAAAATTAAATCCACTAAGCTTGAGAGAGCCTGCTGGGAAACACCTGGAAAGCGGGGGTGGTGGCTCCATGTCTCTGTTGATATTCAGCGTAAATGATTGAGAATGAATAGATAGAGGTTAAATGGGAAGATTTTTCACAGGATTTGTTCCTTCCCCCATTCTCCATTTTTCTTCCTAATACAGCTGTCCCTGACCCAGAGTGACATCAGCCATATTGGCTCCATGAGAGTGGAGGGCATTGTCCATCCAACCACAGCCGAAATTGACCTCAAGGAAGATATAGGTAAGGTCCTGAGACTTTGGTAGAGGTGCCATTGGGTAAATAGTGACCTGTTCTGTCAAGTTCTTATGAAGTCAGTCATGGCCAAGTAGATATCCCTCAGCTTAGGATGCCATGTCAGACTCTTCCTTTGTGTGTGGTCAAATGGCAGCCGTGTAGACCTATTTCCCCTGCCTCTCAATGTGAACTTGTCTATGCCTTCAGATACCTGTCCCTCTCCCTGCTGATCTCCCTGTGATCCAGCAGATCCGCACTGGTGAGGGATCTGCGCACAGAATGGAGTCGTGGGGGCCCCGGGCACAGCCTATGATCACTGTTTCCAAATTGTATCACTGAGACCCACAGTAATGGAGACCACAGTAATGGAGAATGCCCTCCCAGTGGAATAGTCATTTGTCCCTACATGAGCTGCGGTGTAGTGTGGTTCTGAGTGGGGAGCAGGAGACACTCCCTAGCCTCTAGGGAGCCTCTTAGCTGAGTAATAACAAATACAATAACCAATAGCCATGTGTAGAGTTGAGACTTGCCATATCCAGATCACCAGATGCATGAGAAGATGAAAATATGTGAGGGGAAATTCCTCCCCTCCCGCCTAAAAGCAGTGCTCCTCTAAGTCTGGACAAAACAGCCATTTGTCACCTCAGAGGTACGAGAAGCCCCTGGGGCACATAGGCAGGGTTCCTGCTGACCAGATGGGGCGGGAGGTCTTACCCACTGCGGGACTTCCCCCGACCTCTCTGTGCGGAGCCTGAACTATTGAGAAGGGAGCTGACCTAACAGCAAAGGCCGAGGGATCTCCCAGCAGAAAGGTCCTTACAAATTAGCACTAGGCGGGGAACATGCTAGGCTGCCCTGAGCCAGTGCCTGTCCTTTGACCCCAGTGAGTTACAACAAATTGGTGGTGGTGAATTAGGAATGAGACCCCAGAGCTTTCCACCCAGAGGTTCCTCCTGAGCCATCTGTCACCTCAGGTCCGGGTTCCCATTGTGGCTGGCTCTCCAAGGGTGGCTCTGGCAACAGGTGGCAGGCTGCAGGGTCTGTGGGATGCCTCCAGAGTGGGTGCTGCCATCCAATCAAGACAGTGAATATAATCAACACAATACGGCCACTGAACACAGAACAGAACTCTAGATCCTCAATTTAAAAAAAAATCATTTTCAGAATTCATGTCATGAGATCACTTTATGCCCAAATGACTCCCTTAAACGGTCCTTTAAGAGAGTTTGCCAGAATCTAAATCCCAGGGACAGAAACCCAGAAACCCCTGCCTCCAGGGAAACTGGTTCAATTTCAGAGTTTGATTCGCACTTCTAAGCATGGTTTTTTTCCTCACCTTCTGAAAATATGTGGAGGTGCTAACTAGTTAGGTTAAGAACACTCACAATGAGTTGCTGTTGTTCTCCACCACAGGTAAGGCTTTGGAAAAGGCTGGGGGGAAAGAGTTCTTGGAAACAGTGAAGGAGCTGCGCAAATCCCAGGGTCCTTTGGAGGTTGCTGAAGGTAAGCGTGGAATCAGGCCCACCTTCCCAGCACCCACCTTCCTCTCCACAACTGCATGCTATACACATATTTTGTTCATAAAACAAACAGACCCTAACTAATCAAAAAGTTATTATAGCATTTCTCTGATCATTTGGGCAGTTCAAGTCAACTTGCATTTGATCACCCACAAGAATGGTCTGGAGTTTTAGGTAACTCTGTGTGTGTGTGTGTGAGTGTATGTGAGTGTGTGTGTGTGTGTGTGTGTGTAAGATACGTAAAAATCTACCATTGTAACATTACAGTTCAGTGGCATCCAACACACAAGCACATTTTTTTTTATGGAATAATTTTTTTTTTCCTTAAAGATTTATTTATTCATGCATACGAGAACCAGGGTACAGGCCAGATGCACGGGAGGGTGAGAGGATTCACCAGAGACAGAGTGGAGAACAGAGCAGGCAGACTGACTGAAATACACTGCCGAGGGGAGCAGCGGGTGAGACAGGAAATGTGGGATTCTTGCCGGCCAGCTGGGATCAAATCCACGCTATAGAGCCTGCACACAGCTTCACAGTGCTGTGCTCAACCACCTGCACCACCAGAGGAGGCCCCACAAGCACATTTATAATGTTGTTCAGCCATCACTACCATCTGAGTCCAGAACTCTTTTATCTGTTAACACCTTCAGCAGAAACCCCCCACCTGTTAAGTAGCCACACCCATCCCCAGCCCCTGGCACCCACCTATCTACTTTCTGTCACAAATCTGGACTTGGCTGTTCTGGACATTTCATCTAAACAGAGTCATACAATATGTAATCTTTTGTCTGACTTCTTTCACTTAATTTTTTTGAAGCTCACCCCTATCATATAGCATTGCTTCCTGCAGCCCCCAGACTCCGAGGTCAACAGGGACATCCTGCTTCTGGTACTTGGTTGTGGAGTCAACCAGTCAGGCCTGCGGCCTCCTTAGTGTTTATGCCAACAGATTCCCTTGCTCACTGTTCACTCACCAGACAGTCAGCACCCAGTCAGGCACCGGGAAGCAGGGTGCTGGCAGGCTTGCTGGGAGAGTATGGGGCTGCAGAGTGTCCCTTGCCTTTCACCTCCACCTGCCCAGCAAGTGCAGTCACGGTTCTCCATGAGTCTCTAGGAAACACTTCTTGTCAACTAGGTGGGCACCATATATTTCAAAAAAAATCTTTCAATCCCACCCCATACATGCTCCAGAAGGCGGCAGATACTCATGTGTTATAAACACTATTTTGGGCAGTCAGCATCTGTCCCCAGGGCCCTAGGCTTCCAGAGCCAGGTCACCTGAAGGGCCTGGGACCCAGTGGTAGCTGGTGCCGTGAGCCCCAGCTCCTCAAAGTGGTGGCTTAGGGTGCTGCGTGGGCCTGACAGAACCCTCCTCTGGGCATGATAGCCAGAGGGACCTCTCTCTGGCTCCTCAGCACCCAAAGTGCTTATCAGCTCTGTCTCTGTTAGGAGTGGGCTTGGGGGAGTAAAAAGCAAAGGTGGGGAATATGAACGTATTCAGCAGGCTGGCATAACTCCAGTCTGGAACACCTGCTCTCTGCAGGCTCCTCAGGCGTGTTCAAGACAACCCCCGTCCAAGGGGGTACAGGCAAAGGCAGGGCTTCCCAACTGAGAGAGTCCTCAAGTCACAGTCTGTTGAGCAGGATCTGGCTCTGTTAAAAGCTGAAAAGCCACTATGTGAGTTTCCTGTCGCTGCTGCCACAAATTACCACAAATGTGGTGGCTTCACACAACACAAATCTAGTCTGATGGAGTTCTGGAGGTGGAAGTCCACCTCAAGTGTGAATGCTGGTTGCTGGCAAGGCTGGCTCCTTCTCGGAGAGCCGCTGCTTGCCTCTCCCAGCTCTGGGCGGCCATGTTTTGGGCTCCTGGTGCACCACTCCAGGCCCTGCTTCCACCGGCATATCGCTTCTCCCGCCTTTGACCTGCTCGCCTCTCTGGCATAGGGAGTTACTCAGGGCTTCTCCAGATGGTCCACAACAATCTCCTCTTTTCAAAACCCTTCCCTGACCACAGACTTGTGCAAGGTCCCTTTTGTCATGTAAGGTGACATGCACGGGTTTCAGGGATTAGGAGATAGACATTTTGGGGAAGCCAGTCCTCAGCCTACCACAGCCACCAGCGGGGATTCTGAATGGACCCTTTGATTAGGCGCCATTGTCACTTGGCAGCCTCACCTGATGACTAGCTGGCAGACCAAATGGAAGCCTAGCACCGTCACATCAGGGTTTATCCAAAGCAATTCCAATACAGCTTCTGGTAAACATTCAGTCCCCATCAGAGGCAGGGCACAATGTCCAGACAACTTCTCTATGACTTCCTGGTGCCCCAGACCTCTAAGAGGCCCCAGGAGTTTCCATCCAACCCCTGCTAAGACAAAGTTGTAGGAAATAACCTGCGTCATTTCCCTCTCCTACCCCAGCTGCCGTCAGTCAATCCAGCGGACTCGCAGCCAAATTTGTCATCCACTGCCACATCCCTCAGTGGGGCTCCGACAAATGTGAAGAGCAGCTTGAAGAGACCATCAAAAATTGCCTGTCAGCGGCAGAGGACAAGAAGCTAAAGTCTGTGGCGTTCCCACCCTTCCCCAGCGGCAGGTAGGAGGTGGGTCTCCAGGAGGACAGGAGGGGTCCTGAGTTTATTCTTCCAGCCTACTCCCTGGGACTCAGCTGCTCCCCCACTTACTCATATCCACTCCAGCACCCCTACAAGACATAACCAGGGCTGCCACTGTACCCAAGCCCGTCAACCAGGTGACAGAACCAAGAAGGCCAGTTTCCATCCTTCAAAACACACAGGAAAAGACAGCTGTAGGGTGGAGTGGGAGGCAGAGTTCTCTTTGCAGCACCTGCCATGTTCAAAGCCCATCGCCTGCCAGCTGTGTGAACCAGGATCAGAAACACCAGGCCAGAAGGCCTTGGTCTGTGGTCCGGCAGCAGCACCCCCTGTTAGAATGTGGTGACCCCACCCCATGCATCTCTAGGGTACCCTGTGTCCCGGAAGGCAGGAGGGCCAGGAGGCTGAGGCTTTGTCAAGTGCCCCTGGAGAGATGAAAGACTCTCACTGAGGCTTTGCTTTGGAGGGTTAGAAAAATGACAGCTCTAATTGTCACTGACCCCAACAGGCACAGCAGCAGGTTTCAGGTAAATAATGAGTGTAGCTGTCCCCAACTGCAGCACAGCCTTCCCTCTGTGCTCATCACCAAAGCGAGTTATGGCTTTAATTTTGAACACCCTCTCTCTTGAGAGACACCCCTCTGTAACATAGATGTGTTTTACACTCTAAAGCCCTTCTGTTTGTAGCTGAATCACAGGAAGCTATGAGAGAAATATGAGGCCTAGCCTCCTGCTGTCATCCTGTCTCAACCTCACCACGCAGCTCTGGTCTCCAAGGCCCAGGCCCAGCAGCACTGCCAGCTGAATTCTTTACATAGCTGGGGCCACATGCCCTGCTGTGCTGGACTAGGACACACCATCCATGTGAGAAATATGAGGCAGACCCACCCTGCACCCGTCTAAGGGGGATTAGTGACTGGCCCCAAAGGACACTGTGGCTAGGTCCTCTTGAGGCTAGTTATTACCACCCGGCCGGGCAGGCAGTTCTGGCCTGGCCTTCTGGTGCTTGCTTGGGCCCTGACCAGAGTCATCCATGTTGAAATGACCTTGACACCTCCCTTTGCGTTACTGAGGACAGCTTGAAGGGCACAAAAGAGGAATTGTAAAAGCACTCTTTGCCCTTTAATGAGCAATGTTTGGCACAAAATCCAGTTATAAGGACCAAATCAAACCTCTATTTGCCTTTTTGAAGACCAAGTCTTCTAAATGCCATGTCAGTGGTGTTTTTAAAGCCCAGCTCAATTTGAGTGAGGACTTTCAAGCACAGGCACCGCTCACTGGCCAGTCCTATGACCTGGGCTAAAACCACTGGGCCTCCGAGTCAGTGTAGCACCTACACAGCAGGGACAGTGGCCACTCCCAGGCTGTCCCTTTGACAGGGCTCATAGGTGATCATGTGTGGACCAGAGGCAGACGGTGAGACCCCAGCTACAGGAACTGGGGCCCGGAGCCAGTTAAGGGCCCAGAGTGACGTCAGCTCTCCTTTTCCTTTGGCACAGAAATTGCTTCCCCAAACAGACCGCAGCCCAGGTGACCCTCAAAGCCATCTCGGCCCACTTTGATGACTCAAGCGCATCCTCGCTGAAGAATGTCTACTTCCTACTCTTCGACAGCGAAAGCATCGGCATCTACGTGCAGGAGATGGCCAAGCTGGACGCCAAGTAGCCGCCCCCGGCCAGCACTGCTCGCCAAGGGAATCCAAGGAGGAGCAAAGTGACAGCAGCAGTGGGGGGTTATTTTTTAAAAGAAGGGAGAAGGGTTGACAGCAGGGGAGCAGAGGGTGGCTGAAAAGGAAGCAGGTAGCAGAGGCTGCAAAGCAGTTCCTGCCCCCTTGACCCCCCAGGAGCCCTCTGCCTTTTTATATTCTGGTTAAAAAGAGCCTCAGTCCGTAATTAACCAGGTGTCCACCAGGGGTTTCTTTCCATGTGTTTTCTTCCTGTTGTTTTAAAACTTTTTTAAAAAAAAACAGACTTCGTTTTAGATTTATAGCATTGACTTTTACACACACACACGCACACACACACACACAAATCCTTTCAAAATTCTTTAACTCTTCTGTTTCTCCTTTTTTGCAAGGGAACAGGGCATACAAATGACTGGGCTTTGTTGGCTGGCTGTATTTGGAAATGGAGAAGAAAATCAGAAAGGCATCAACTGGGTGCTTTGCTTTTCTGTTTTAGTGCCCCCACCCCTACCCCTATATCTGTAACTACTCCTAAAAAAGGTTTTGCTTCAGGCTTTTTTTGGTTTGGTTTTGTTTTTTAAAGAAAAAGAAAACAAAAGAAAAAATAAAAGATCCAGTGTCTTTCTTATAACATATTCTTTTATTACCACATTTTCCTCTGTTTGGAAAGCCATGTCCCCATGGATAGATACTTCTAGAAAGTTATCAACAGAAGAGGCCCTATCACCAAAGGACTGAGGCTCCCTCAGTGCTAGGCCTCAGGTTAGGCAGCACCAGAGTGGCCTCATTTTGCAGGTACCAAGTGTGGTGCCTCATTGGCCTGGGCCCACAGGATGGGAGGCCTGGGCAAAATACAGGCCCCTGCCCGGACAGGACAGACTGAGAACCCCAGGGAGGCTGGTATCCAGGACTCTGGCAAGTACTTGGGTTGCCATCAAAAGTGGGGAGGGTGGGCAAAGGCAGTACCTGCATTTATTCAGATGAACTCATCAACCACCTCTGCGATAGAGATTTAAACTATGGGGTCCAAAACAGGCTCCCCCTCACCCCCCAATGGAAGTTCTCTCTGGAGTCATCTCTGTACCTTAGCTGAGCTGGTGATGGTCCACGTGGCTGGACCTCAAGGTAAGTGACATTGGGGTTAGCCTGGAAAGCCACAATGGTACCCCCAGGACCCTCCTCCCCACCCCCCAGCATCAACTAAAGTTCTGTCGCTTGCAGATTTGCCCATGACAGTGGCCTGGAAGCAAGTAGGGGTTCACCTGCTGGACGCCCCCCCATTCCCCAAATGTCAGTTCAATGGCAAGCCATCTCCACGGGCTGGCAGGCCAGTGCTAATCCCTATTAGTTTTGTGGAAACTCACTCTCTTGGGATGGACTAAGCAGGAAGGAAATTTTATATCCAACTCTTTTATCTTAAATGTAACCTATGGTATATAATCAGGACCTAAAGATAGAAATATAGAAAGTACCATGATGGTGAAAGACTGTAGGAATGAATAGTTTAAAATTAGTCTTCTATTAACAACATGGGTTTTGCAGGGGATGTATGCTTCCCCACCCCTGCACCTCTGCTGTGATAGGGGGGCCTGGGGTGCAGGCCATCTCTCCACAGCAGCTCCCATTCCTAGCAGGTCTCTGTGCAGGCTCCTTCAGACTCCTTCCTGCCCTAACACACAGGACATCAGCCACTGGGAGACCCAGCTCTCCTACTCTGAGAGCTCTGGATGGCACAAGCATGCACACACACATGCACACACACCACGTGCTCACACACATGCATCTAAGAGGAGCCTGGCTATAGAGAAGGGTGGCTGTGAACTCCCCAGGACCAAGTGACCCCTCTCTCTTTCTCTCCCTCCCTCCCTCCCTCTCTCTCTCTCTCTCTCTCTCTCTCTCTCTCTCTTTTGGTTTTAGATGGGTTGTTTCTGGTGAGTACATCATTGGCATCTTACTCCACAACAAGAGCATTTGCCCCTGGCACTTGTCAGGCAGGTGCCCTTCGTCAAGCGATCCAGTCACCTGGCCCCAGTGCCTTGGCTCCCAGCAGCCTCCCCATCAGGGTGGAGACTGCCTCATGGTTTTCCAACTTGTGGAGACGAACAGGTCCCGGCTCTTGGCCAGCCGAACCATGAGCCGCCCCACGTAGAAGCCACTAATCTGGCCCACACCATCGTTTCTCCCCATGGACAGCAGGAACGTCAGCCCACCTGTGGAGAAGAGACACCAATAAGCTAGAATCGTGCTTGCTCATTTGTGAGCCTGCTACTCCCAGAGTACAAAACCTTCCTGGGATCCTTCAGCCCCAGGGCAGGGAAATGCATGAGCTTTTCAGTGGGTAGAGTTCCTGATTCAGTTTCAAAGAGCTCTAGGGAAGTGCTTCTGTCACCAGTTGGTGAGGTGGTTCTAGCTGACAGTCATTTTAAAGACCCAAAAAGCTTCCACATATCTAGTCCCAACTCCTTTAAAATTGTGGGAACTGCCCTACCTGGCTTATAGGCCTTGAGGGGCCTCTGCTTCATGGAGTTGACGATGTTGGCCACGGCGATGTTGGCGTGGAGGCCTGCGTGATAGGCCATCTTGGGCTCCTTCACGTCAGCACAGTCACCAATGGCATAGACATTGCTGCAGCCCTCCACCTGGAAGTGCTCGTTCACCCTCACAGCCCCATTGCTGGCCAGTCGACTCTCTGCCAACAGAAACCAAGACCCCAAGGTGCCAGATTAAGGGACCTCCAGAACCAGGTGAAGATGAGCTCTGTGCTGGATAAGCCCCCCTTCCAAAGGCACATCCTCAAGAGGTGGGACCTGCCTAATTCATTTCCACCTTAAGTCGCCACTTCATTTTCTTGCAAAGAAAAAGTTACTAGAGCAGGGTGGGAGCTGGTTGGAAAGACGCCAGTGTCCTTTTATATATGCACAAAATTTTTCACAAGTCACCAGGATTAACAATGATTAATTCATGATGGTTAAGATATGACTTAGCTACATCCCTTTAGAATGTGCATCAGATTTTTTTTTAAATGTAGGAATTTCATAAATGATAAACTTTTCTTTTTAAGGGACTTTAAAAATATATATCTTCAAAAATAAAACATTAGAACAATCAGGTGTTAAATTCTGGATCTCTGTCACTATAATCTCTCACTCAAATCCCTACACATGGCTCAAATTAGCTTCCTTCTTCTGGAATTGGATCAGTCTTCCCTGTTGGACATAAAGCAGGACCTCCTTGTTCAGGAAGGGTTCTCGGGAATAAATGATGGGGATTTGGGGACCAGAAACCATGTGGACTGAGGAGGCTGCCCACTCACAGATGGAGGCCAACAGGCTACCTCCCCCAGCTCTTTCAGCTACTTAAACATTGAGCTTTGAAAACATGAGACCACATAATTGCTCCCGCTCCTCAAATGGTCATTCTATGTGCATGTGGCCAAACATTTGGACCAGGATTTGGGTAAAGCAGTGAACCTGTGAACAGAGAAAGGCCTGACCCTAACTTTCTTCTGCATCCGTGTACACAGAAAAGGAACAGAAAATGCATGTTTGATCTCTCTGAAACCTGTTCTCACTCCTCTCCACTAGGGGGCAGGCCCTGGTGTGGGACGATCCTTATCATTTTGGCCGCCTTGGGCTAAGTCAGCACAGGCAGAGCACAGGAAAGCACAGAGAAGGGACCCAAACCTACACTTCAAGTTCAATGTCATCAATCAGAAGAGACCAAAGGAGTTGCTGGAATGGAGTGGGGAGGCACTGACTTCTGGGCAGAGGCCTGCAGCGCCTACTCTGGTGGCTGGAAAGTAAGGAGACAGCCTGGGAAGTGGGCTGCGGCTGGACCTCCTGCTTACCGAAGGCACTGCGGTAGGCCGAGCTGTTGATCTTGATACCATTGCAGACAATCACCAGGTTGGTGGCCACCTCCGTGCCTTTGTCGGTCTGCACTTTGATGTATTCTCGATACTCATTGACAGGCAGCGCCTCCAGGTTGCTCACCCGCTCACCTGTCAAGGGAGGTACATGACCAGGAGGCCAGCAGAGGGTAGACACTCCACCCAGGCTGGGGCCCAAGCCAAGGCTGGCCTGGGGAAGGCCGGAGGCCATGGAAAGGCCTGGATCACTGCAGCCCAAGTAGGTTATTACTCCATCCCCCCTTTCCCTCCCGCGCCCCTCCCTGTCCATGCTGCTGCCCCAAGAATCACAAGCTGGACATCTGGCCCCAAGGGAGCCAATGGAAGGAAAGTTGCCAGGAACAGGAAGTGAGACTGAGTTTCCCAAGAAGTTCTTGGAAAAGATTTTTGAGGAAGACCTGAAACATCACTCCCCGTTGTCAGCCAAATGGCCCTGGCCAGGCAGGAGGTGCCCCCCCGCACATCACTGAAGTTGACAGCAAGACCTGCTCTCCTCACAGCCTGAGAGCTCACTGGACACATCGCCAGTTACAAGGAGACTGAGAGCCGGGAGGGGTTTTCATGGACATCCCCCCGCTCATTGTAAAAAGTGAGAAGAGGAAAGGAAACTCAACGAGCTGCATCATCACGCTGTCGGGATAAGAGCCCTCCTCCCTAACATGCTGGTGTTCCTTTCCATCCTGCTCTGGACAAAAGCCACACTCCCACCACCCTCAAAATACAGACTATTCTCTCACAGAGACATTATTGTTCCGGTGAAATCCTTCAACAAATAGCCAAGACCAACAGCACTGTGTCCAAAGCAATAGCCAGGCCCCTGCTGACTCCATGACACAGCAGTCCCTAAGCACCAGGGCATCTGCCCCGCCTGAGGACAGACACAACCCCCACTGGCCAAGGCTCCAGTGGGCTTTGAGGCTCAACCCCAGGACACACAGAGAGCTTGGGTTGGGCGTAGCACCCTCCTTAGTACCTGGGGGCAGGTACTAAGCCTCCGAGTCAAAGCTCACTGGGCCAGGGAGAGGAGTAGGCAGGCGGGACCCACACGTACTCAGCAGCAGCTGCACGCCTTTCCGGAGCAGGATCTCCTTCACTTCCTGCCGGACACAGGGCAGCAGCTCCTTGTCAGCCAGGGCCATTTGGGAGTGGATGAGAGTGACCTGGGGAAAGGGACCATAGGGCAGAGAAGGGGCCTTTGAGTCTCCTACTCAAGTGAAAAGGTTTAAAAACATGTCAACCTGCCCCCACCCCCACCCCCCAACTCCAGTTTACAAGTGAGGAAACTGAAGCTTCAGGGAGGTAATTTGCCCGATGCCTGAATCAGTGAGGGGCAAGCTGGACTTCAGCCCCATCTTCCAGCCTAGGACTCTTTCAACTCTGGCCCGCTGCCCTGGCCAGATGACCACCGGTAACTATGTTCCCCAAGTGACACCGCACCTAGGTTCATATGGGCAACCATTTTCCAGCACCCCTGGGCACTTTAATTATACAGCCTGTGTAGGAGCCGTTGCATTCCCACTACAAAGCAGGCTGACAGTTACGTTAAGGTTGGTCCTAAAATTGACGCTGCCAGGCACGTTGACTTGCTGCTGGGTCAGCTGGGGAATGGGGGCAGCAGCCTGAAATGATGCCAAAGTTGGGGGTTGAAATCTCATCCTGGATATTCACTCCTAAAGCCTTAGAAAGGCCTGGATCACTGTCTCACCCAAAGGAATTTTGTAACAATGAAATGAGAAAGTACACATAAAGCCCCTAACTCAGCACATGCTGAGTCCTTAACAAAGGGAGGTGACTATTATGTTACCCTTCTTTGACTACTAATTATAAACACATGGAAGATATACTGAGCCACTGACTACTTCAGACTGGTCTTTACCCCATAATTCAAATTAATAAACTTTTACATCAATCACTTATAATTTCCAACAATTTGTCAGAGAACATTCGTATCATTAAATTAACTCACATTGATCTTACTTTCCAAAACCAATCTGCCTTCCTCCAGGGAGAAAGAGCCATTCAGAGCCTCTCAGAGCTGATCTGGCATCAGCAGTAGGTTAGCTCTAAGCTGGAGGACCCCTAATTATGGCATATTACTCAGCCCTCAGCCTTTACTGCCTGCCAGGCTGTTTCCTTTCTCTCCAGGTGGGTTCTCTCTCCTCCACTGTTAGCAGGAAACGGGGTTACTCCCCCCAACACACACACATGGGCTGGGGACAGCACTGGCCAGTCCTCCCTCAGCACTGGCTATCAAGAGGCTATGCAGCAGATCCCCCCTTGTCTGGGGTAAAAGTTGTTGCCTCTTAAAGACCAAAGAGCCTCTAGTTGCCCCTGACAAAAAAAAAATCAGCTGAGGATGTCTTTGACCAAGCAAGTTGCCAGCAAGAAGAGGTAATCAAAGTCCTTAATTATATTACAGAAGCTGGGACACAGCAGGGACCCAGGGCTAAACTATTCTAAGGCCGTCTCTCTTGGGCTTGCACCTTCCTATAGAACCAGAGGCAGGCCCCTCACACCTGGCTCTGCAGGAAAAAGCCCCAGTGGACCAGGACTTGAGGGGACTCCCCAAGGCAGAGAGCAGGAACAACACACACTCCCACTTGATATTAATGGTGCTCCATTCCTCAGATAATGCAAAGAAGCCAACCTCTGGGAGTTCAAAGCCAAGGCGCTAGCCCACCTCTTTCTCGGGGTATTCTGTTTTAATCTCGGCTGCCATCTCCACGCCCGCAGAGCCGCCGCCTACCACGGTGATGAACTGTGAACGCTGCACCTGGGGAAGGAGGAAACACCAAGCACACCCTCAAATCCGCACTGCTGCCCACTTCACCCTGGGTTGGGAGAGCTCGTTGGCCAAAGAAGAGTAGACAACCCTTTCCAATTCAGGGCCCAAATGTGCTTCCTTGCGGCCAGGCACTTGCTGGGTATTTCCCTGCATTTGCCTCACTCCATTCTCACATTGGCCCCACAAGCAGGCATCACTACCAGCTCACCCTTCAGATGTCCCCGGCCCAGGTCTGAGTTTAGGCCAGATCCAACCCCCCACACTAGCGTCTGCCCATGGCTGTGCGAGAGGCTCCCAGGCTTCTCAGCTCTGCCGGAGAGACCTGGCCTCGTCTAGCCCCAGCACTTGCCTGAGGCTCCTTCTCTGGTCTCCACTCCTCATCTGCTCTGTGGGATCTGCAGCCAGTCCCACCCACCTCTTAGGATGGCTGTGAAAGCCGCCTGGGATCACAGATGGAGCCTGCTCCATAAAGCATAAAGCCCAGTGCAAGCAGGAGCCCAAGAGGGAGGTCGGAAACATGCTGATCGCTTCTTTAGAACCACATCCAGACTCCAATTTCAAGTCCAGAGGTCTCCTCCCAGGAGCCTTATCCTGGTAACTCTGCATATTTAAGTCTGCTCTCCCAGCCCCAAACACCTCCAGGTGGTCCTCCTGATACAGCCCCAGGCGTCCCACAGTTGTTCTGCTCCTCAGGGGTCACCTGGTCACCTCTGCCTCCTCAGCATGCAGCTCACCTGCTTCACCATGTCCTCGTAGGCCTGGATAGCGACCTGCTGGCTGGAAACGTGGTTAAACTTGCCCGGGAAGGGCCCAGTGCTGCCCGTGGCCAGGATAAGGTGTGAGAAGGGCAGGGCCTGGGAAGAACAAGGAAAAGAAAGGTGAGAGCCTGGCTGGGCTGCTGCACCCAATCTCAGGTTCTGTTGGAGGGGTGGGGAGAGGGTCTGCAGTCTGGGCATATGGCAGCATCCTTCTTTGAGGACAGCAACACCCGCACATCGGTTAGGCCAAGGGGTGGCACAGGAACCTGGGAAATGCCTAAGGAAGCTGATTTTCCCTCCTGCCAGAGGCATCCAATACAGAAACAGGAGGGCAAGCTCCCCACAGCAGGGTAGGTAAGTCGGGAACAGGAAACCACTGTGGGGAATAAGCAGGATTCTAGCTTCCAAGTGGAGTCACTTTACAAGCACCTAGGTATTTTAGAAAAAATGTTCCTCTGGCCTTGGAAGAGAAGAAAAGGAAGAAAGGGCGAGAGAGGGTAAGCGGAAGGGGAGAAGGGAGGGGTGGGGGGAGAGAGAGAGGGATATCTTGTTTGGATCCCACTCAGCCTGTGGAAGCAGGAGATGCCCTCGTGGGCCCTTCCGGGACTCTGAGACGCAAGCCCCAAACCATACACTAGGGGACTCTCAGTCATCTTTCCAACTGTGGGATTCTCCAGCCCTAAAATGATTTCAAGGAGGATTGGTTCACACTAAATTGCATTTTCACTGAAGACTCCATGTCCCCTTTCTCCAGTCCCCTCTTGGCTTACACAGGGGGCCAGGTTGGCGGGTGACCCTCAATGGGCTGGCAGCAGCTCACTGACAGAGCTCACGTCACCGTAGGTGTGTCCCAGGCGCCATGCCATGCCCCAGGGCTGAGGAGGGCAAAGGAGAGTGAAGAGAACCTTTACCCCACTGACATCTTGGTCGGGGACATGGGATCATGCGTGTCCTTTCATTCTAGACAGCAAGGAGAGTCCTCTGGTCTGGCCAGACACTGGCTTACGGAGTGTGGGTTCTGAGTTCAAATACTGACTGAGTCTCTTACCAGCTGGGGGATCGCGGGCAAGCCACTCAGCCTCTGGGTAAAGGGCTGCATGGTCACGAGGGGCTTTAGATCAGACTATGGGAGGCTTAAGGCAGTGCCTGGAGTACAAAGAGGCTCAAGAAGTGTCTAGCACCACACTTCCATGCTGCTGCGGTCAGGCATTTGCTGAGGACCCTGCCACCTGCCCAGCACCTCTCCTGGAGAGTCCCTCCAAGGTCTCGACACCCGCAGCCACACTTCCAGGCCTCTGAGCCCCACTAATGGACAGTCAGTGCCCCCGGCCTCACCTCGCCATCCTCCAGCCGCACCGTATGATTCTTCATGTCTATCTCGACCACCAGGCCCTGTCGGAAGTTTTCCTTGAAGGTCTCCGCATAGGAAATGAATGTCTTTTTGGCAAATCCTGAGGAATGGCCACAGAGGTCACAGTGTAAAGCTGGGCTGCCAACAGAAGGTCAGAACCTTTCCTAAGCTGCTTTCTAACAGGGGTGCACTTGGCCAAACAGCTGGGCCAGCAGCATACACAGGCTCCCCACTACCCTCTCAAGTGCAGGTCCGGGCCTCAGGTGCTCAGGGAAGCTCAAGCTCTCGCTTCTGGAGCTCTGTGCCATGATGGCCTAAGACCAATGACCTTAACGTTCCTTGGAATTTGTCTCATGTGGAATGTTGGCACCTGCCCTCAGTGGAGAAACCACCCCCAGACCCACAATGGTGACAACTCTCAAAATGAAAGCCCCCCAAAAAGACACCATTACCGGGCCTCCCTGGTGGCACAAGGGGTTAAGACACAACCTATGAAGCTATCCACAGCCACTGCAGCACGAGTTCATCCCCAGCAAGGGAGCTACCCACAGGGCACAGCAGACCTCGCCTGACTCGCCTGCTGCTCCCCTCACCAGTGTATTTCAGTCAATCTGCTTGTTTTGTTCCCCACCGTCTCTGTCTGGTGAATCCTCTCACTCCCCCTCCCACCCCCATACCTCTGGCCTATACCCCATCTCTTATATGCATAAATAAATAAAGTCTTAAAAAAAAAAAAAGACCATTACCACTCTCCACGGAGGCCCGGAGGGCGGCCACATTGTGATGGAAGGAGTCTTTCATGTCCACCATCATGAAGGGGATGTTCAGCGACTGCAGCTGGCTGGCGGCAGCAATCCCACCAAAGCCCCCGCCCACAACCACCACGTGCAGACTTCCTCCCGTGTCCACCGAGACCTGGGACCCCATCTTCAACCAGGCACTGCTGGGAGAGAAGGAGAGACCACATTAGAGACCCGAAGGCTAGGAGAGCAGGTGGGCCCGCAAAGAGAAAGATGTCCAATGCCAAGACTTGATGTTTTTAAATTCTGTGACTATATGCGTGAAATTCCAACTTTGTAAAATGTGGGTTTGCTTTTTTTGTTTGATACAGCAAAACTTGGTTTATTGACATTGTCATAGCATAGCGCCAGTTCACAAGAAATAATTCTTTTTTTTTATTTTCTTTTTTTTAAGATTTATTTATTTATACAAGAACTGGGGTACAGTCAGAGGCACAGGAGGGTGAGAGGATTCATCAGAGACAGAGCAGGGAGCAGAACAGGCAGATGGACCAAAGACACTGCTGAGGGGAGCAGCGGGTGAGACACAAGAGGTCTGCTTTGCCATGTGGATATCTCCCTGGCCAGCCGGGAATCGAATCCACACTGCAGAGGCTGCGGACAGCTTCACAGCGCTGCACTCAACCCACTGCGCCACCAGGGAGGTCCTCACAAGAAATTCTGCACATAAACAAGCCATACCTTAAAAAGTGCTTCTACTTTGCCCTCCTTGAATTTCCAGAAAATCTTCTTTGACTTCCCCATCTCACAGCAGAACATTCAGAAAGAGCAAGCTACAGTGTTATATTTTTTTTCATATTTATATGGAGATTCAAAATTTATGTTTACAAATGAACACTCTCATTTACCAGCAATTGTTCAGCGTCTACTTACTTATTTGCAAAAATGGAGATACCACCTGTATTAAGTAACTCCTATTTTGGTATGAGACCCAAGACTGTGTAAGAGATGGATTGATAAAGTTATGAAGCAAAATGGAAATGTAAATATTTTATAATATTATAAGGCTTTATGAGCGAAATGTTCTCACATTTCTAGGTGATGGTTCTGAATCTCTCTGTGGGGACTGCATGAAGAGAGGGCTCCTCCCAAGTCCAGTGAGATGAAGTAAAAGGTGACCAATTGTTCTATTTTTGCTTTGATATCAAGTCCATAAAATGAGGTTCTACACTTCTAAACTCATACATTAAAAGTGCCACCTACAATTTTTATTGTAAGCTAAGGTCTTTGCAAAATGCATAACTTGATTGAAAAATCACTATTGTGGGCCTCCCCGGTGGTGCAGCGGTTGAGCGCTGGGTTGCAAAGCTGCCCGCAGCGTCTGCGGCGCCGGTTCGATCCCCTGGCTGCTCCCCGGCCACCGGAGGAGGGTCCCACATGGCGCGCAGACCTCTCCTGCCGCCCGCTGCTCCCCTCAGCAGTGTACTTCGGTCCTTCTGCCTGCTCTGCTCCCCACTCTGGCTCTGGTGAATTCTCTCACCCTCCCGTGCTTCTGACTGTACCCAGTGCATGTATAAACAAAAACAAACAAACAAACAAATAAATAAATAAATAAGCATGCCTCTATTAAAAAAATAAATAAATAAATAAATAAAAATAAAAAAAAAGAAAAAAGAAAAATCACTATTGTAAAATAAGACTGTTCTTAAATTTAAAGTGTTGAAGAAAATCTAAATAACAGTGATTTGAGATTCACTAGCAGTCATTTTAAAGGATGAACAAGATGTACTTGAAAAGAAATGCTATATTATTTTCTTACTCCTCAAAACTCCCATTTTCATTCCATTTCTGACATACAGTTTGATCCTAATCTGTTTTTTTTTTCCTAAGGTCATTTATTGGTACCTTATCATCTCTGCAATAAAATTAAATATATAGAAAGACCATAAAAATTCTTGCCATGGTAAGCACCTCAGTGTAAAAGACAATGGATGAAACTACATTTTAAAATAATTACTAATAGTATGCAATTAATCAAAAAAATTTATAGTATGCATCTTGATAAATATTTATTAAAACATATCCATTTTTTAATCCAGTCAAAAAATGGGCAGAAGAGCTAAAAAGAAACTTCTCTGAAGAGGAAATGCAAATGGCCAACAGGCATATGAAAAAACGTTCAACATCACTTGTGATCAGGGAAATGCAAATCAAAACTACCATGAGATACCATCTTACACCAGTGAGAATGGCACATATTAAAAAAACTAGCAACAACAAATGTTGGCGAGGGTGTGGAGAAAAAGGAACTCTTCTGCACTGTTGGTGGGAGTGCAAACTGGTCCAACCACTGTGGAGAGCTGTGTGGAGATTTCTGGACCTAATAAACATAGAGCTTCCATATGATCCAGCAATTCCACTCCTAGGTATTTACCCAAAGGACACAGAAACATCAATTTCAAAGAGCACCTGCACCCCTATGTTTATAGCAGCACTATTTACAATAGCTAAGCTTTGGAAACAGCCCAAATGCCCAAAAATAGATGACTGGATCAAGAAGATGTGGTACATATATACCATGGAATATTACTCAGCGTTCAAAAAAGATAAACACATGCAATTTGCAGCAACATGGATGGCGCTGGAAGGGATCATGCTCAGCGAAATAAGCCAGAAAGAAAAAGAAAAATACCGGATGGTCTCACTCATAGCAGGAATCTAGAAAACTTAAATAAGGGACCAGGAAAATGAATAACTATAAGAAAGTGAAAATCAAAATCAACAAAAAACTATGAACCAGAGACACTCTATGGGGGTAGGGGGTGGGAGGGGAGGGATTGGGGTCAAAATAAGGGGGTTGCAATTGTATGGGGAATATAAAAATAAAATTTATTTAAAAAATAAATAAATAAAGTTCATGCTTTTAGTGAAAAAAAAAAAAATCCATTTTTTACATATGATTGTAAAAAATGTCTGAATGGTTTTACCTAGGTACAGGGACAAACTTGCTTGCTCATATGAGCAAACTGTGCGCCTACATGAAACAGGGTCCAGAATCAATTCTGAGAAACCTCATTTACTTAAGGAGTCCTGTTACATATATGCTGCTCAATGCTTTAATGCTGTTGGAGTGATATAATAACAGTAATCTAGCATCAAAAATCATTCCTAATGTTCTATAAGTTTATAACTCTGTCTTCCTGTAGTGTATTAAAAGCAAAGTGGAGACTGCCTCAATTACAAAAGAATATACCAACCTCCAGAGTTACCATCTCAACATCAACACAGTATTTTTAATAGTCTCTTTGTTTCGTTACCCAGAGATTTATACTTTAGGATTTGTTCCATATGATTCTGTATGTTTGAGAGATTTGGTGAGAGAGGCTTGTGATCACAAGAGGTAGGAACGAAATGGATCCAATTACAGACCTACTCAGATGGATCACTTTTGGGAAAGAATGCACAGGAAAATTTAAGATCACGATATTTTTTAAAATTATCTGTTCCAACACAGGCTTTGGGAAGTGGTCATGTATTCTAACAATTTTTGTAAAAGTCAATTAAATTCCAAAGGAACAAGGGGCATTAATTCCATCTCATCCACTACCCACGGAGCTCTTTTTTCCAAGACATCCACTATCATGAAGCTATCGAACCCTTGCAGACATAGTTCATGCACCTTGATTATTTTTTGCACACTTAACAAACAGTCCTGTGCTTTTTTTCCCCCCAATCAATATATCTATCCGCTTGACAACATACATTCATTGAATTCCTGCTCTCTTACATGCTTTGTACTATGGATCCTGTGGTCAGAGCATATACAGAAAAATATGGTGTCTGGCCTCATAAGACACATTTTGCAAACTCTATGGGCAAGGTGGATGGGGTGGATATGGAACGCTGGCAGGTGTGCAGGAAAAAGAAATGGTGGGCACACTTGTGGGGAACTGGCAAGCACAGACCACATTAAAGCAACCAAATAAAGTCCTTTAAGCACTGTGCTAAGCAAACACCAGGACTGGATTCTGCCCAGCCTGCAACTCACCAGCTTAAGGTCCAGGTCTAAGTAGGTCAATTAGCAGATTATGACAATCATCCTGAAAAACAGGGTGCAGAGTAACTAAGGCCCTGATGGTGGGGTGGGGCCATGTGGTGTGATCAGAGCTGGTGGGACATTCCTGGGACAGTGATGTATGTTGGGATTTCTAGGTGAAATGCCCCAGGAGTCAAGGCAGAGGGACAGATGTCTGCAGGCAGAAGAAACAGAGCTGGTTATGGACTTCGAAGGAAGGTCTGCTGGTAACAGAGGGGGGTTGAGGGAGCTGCAGTGGCCATGAAGCCTCCAGTCAAGGGGACAGGAGCAAGGTGCTGCTGGGTGCCGGGGTCGGGGCTACCATCCAAAAGCATGTGTGCAGAGAGTGGAGGCCAGGTCTTTAGTCCAACTGCACCCCAGGTTCACACTCACATGTGGACTAGGGAGCCTGAGCAGTTCCCAGCAAACTAAGAGCAAACCTTGGGTAAGTCCCTCAAGGAGCTCAAAGAAGGTTTGGCCCAGAGCTGGATACTGGAGGACATCGTAGCAGAGGATAGTGGAAGGCTGAACTACTAAGCACAGAGGCAAAAGGTGAAGGTAGCAAAAGTTTGCCTGGGAGAGGGTCTACCACGCTCACCCTCCAAAGGGCCTGGTGATGAGCTGCATCTGTCTGTAGGGAGGGGGAGGGCCAAGGAACTGGCCTGGGGCTGCAGCCGGGGGCCTTGTTCCCAGCCCAACTTAACTCCAGAGAGGGATCCTCATGGTCCAGGCCTCAGGGCTCTCTCGGGTGGGTTCCCAGCTCTCTGAGGAGGACTCAGACAGCTGAGATCTGGAGACCGGTGAGGGACTGTTGGGAGATGCCGATTGGGGACACCAAACAATCAAGCCTCCTCCTAGTTTGTGCCAGGTTTTAAGAAGAGGCAGAAATAAAAACAAACTGCCAGGAAAGAAACAAAGCTGGAACTGTACAAAAGGTAAAGTGGAGAAACGTGTTCTAGTCCCTCTGGGAACCCCGCCTCCTCCACCTTCTGCCTCAGGACAGCACCAGGGGAAGCTGGGAGCTGACTTCTCTGTCCTGCATCTTTTGTGTGGCCTAGGGCACAACTCTTCCCTCCCACGGCTGAACTACTAAGGGGGTAAACTCAATTTACCCCCTATAATAAGAGG